TTTTCAGCTTGATTTGGCGAATTTTCCCTGGGAAGTAAATAACCTCATTTCTGAAAAGCTGCAGCGACATCTGGTGGCACGGCAGTGCCCAAGCCGTTATAAGGTTTCTAGACTGCCATGGGGTTGGGGAAGGTTTAGGTAGGCACAAGTAATATTTTGGTGTAGCAAGTGTCTCTTTTTTTTAAATAGAGGTAGGCAAATGACTCTGCCCCACCTGAGGATAAGTCTATAGGATAAGGTGGCCGCTTACCATCAGGAGGGTCATTTGCCTGTCTTCCACAATTGTTATATTAAATAACAAGTGGGTGCCCGCTATCTTGTCTGCGTGGAATAATTGGTGCCCATTACCCTTTCCACCCCCTTAAATGAAGGATTTCTGGGATAAAAACTATGTAATATAATGTATTAGCCCCGGGACTCAAGCTACCTCTGTATCAAATTTTATCTAAGGCGGTTCAGCGGTTTAAGCGTGAAGAGGTAACACACACACAGACAGACATACTTTCTCATTTATAATATTAGTATGGAAGTTCCATACATTGTCATACACCTCCGTGGCCTAGTGGTTAGTACGCCGGGTTTTAAGGTATCGCCTACTCGTAAGTTTTCGGGTTTGAATACCGGCGGGGCAAATGTTAGTATGATGAATACGAGCATTTGTACCAAATTCATGAATGTTTATATGTATTTCTACATAAAAAAACATACTTATATATGTATACTATACGTTACTAGTATCCCATAACACAAGCCTGTGCTTACTTTGCCTGGGTAGTATTGTTGATTGGTATGAGTGTTGGAAATAATTTATTTATTTTATACATCAACTTCCTTGATCCATACTTCCATACCAATCGTTCCAAGAAGTCCTTTTTGTCGTGAGGCATTCATATGCTTAATGACAATGGACTCAGTGAAAGAATAAAGTTACTTGTCCCATGGGTTATTGTTGTCAGGGTCTTCGGGTGCGTCGTGGCAGCAAGTAAAAAACAGTTTTTTTGGGAGAAATTAATTTTATTCGTGGAGACACGTTAAGCACAAAACCGCCATTACACGTGGGAGAGAGAGTCTAGTCACAAGGACAAAAATTAATTCTTGTTGGTGTTGCCAACAATTGTAAAAACCTTTGTTCCCATCATGGGATACTTGATAGTAGATTAAACCGGCAAAAGAAGTGGTCTGTCTGATGTCTTTATGTCTTGATCTGAAGTTGTTTTTAACAATAATTAAGAATTGATGGAAAAATTCAGGCAATTTTTATTCACCAAGTTCATAATAATATTAGATTATAAGTTAGTTTATTCGACAGTAATGACAATGAAGTTATCGAGTAGAAGACTAAGTTGACTCTTAAGGGTTACTTTATTAAAAACTTGAAACATCTCAAACGAAACTACGGTTAAACTTACACGTATGTAGTTATGCATTGTTAAGTGTCATTTCTTTATGAAATTTGACTTTGCAACTAAGTAACTCTGCTACTTTCCACTATCGTAACATAGGTGATGCAGAAACTTTTTAGAAGTTAATGATGAAAGTTTTATTTAATACACTTTTAAAATTTGTGAACCATTTTACGACTATCTGGTTCTTGATATCCGATTAAGTTGAAATTTTACATAGGTTATTCCGCTTATAGACTACCTCCGTGGCCAAGTGGTTTGAACGCCGGGTTTCATGGTGTCGCTGACTCGAGAGGTCCCGGGTTCGAATCCCGGTGGGGGCAGATGTTTGTGTGATGAATACGAGCATTTGTACTCCAGTCATGGATATTTAATATGTATTTCTATATAAATATACCTGTATATGTACAATATATATATTCTATGCGTTACCCTAGCATCCCATAACACAAGCCTTACAGTGCTTACTTTGGGGCTAGGCTAATTGGTATGAGTGTCGGAAATATTTATTTATTATAAGAAAATACAATTTTCTAAGAGACTCACCGAGGTGACTGGTGATAAAAAGGCTGGCGGCTATCTTGGTCAACGAATTAGCCTTGCTATATAACGTGGCAATGCTGCCAGCCTATTGGGCACCATTCCTGACGGCCGCGCTGGGGTGATATTATTTTTTTCTTAATTGAATATTATTTAAGTACGTAAGTTTTAAAATAATTCTGATTGTAAGTTTTTAGACATTAAGTAGTTTCAAGATTTTTTAATTTAAATATTTCTATGTACCGAGTAACTGCGGGTTACTTTGACCTAAAATGTGCACTTGTTTTTCAAATAAAACTGTAGCTTCTCTTTGTGACGAATATGTCACGTTTATATTTTGCCATTGTGAACTGTAAAGTATAAGTTACAAAGTTAACATAGGAAAATAGGAAAAAATAATATTTAAGGGTTAATATATATTTTTTTAATTTTGGGCCAAAGTTGGCTTTAAAGAGGTTTACTTTAGCTCGTTGAGTTTTCTCTGTGAAAAAAACTCATTTTAAGCCATGTTGTGGTTAAGTAACCCTTATAACAGATCACCATTAGCATACTGAATACACAAATGGATGTTTTTGCCCAAAAATAATTAAGTTAAATTAAAAATATAACTTGAAATTTAGAAAAAATAGTAAACTTACCGAAAACCACAGTTTTGAGAAAGTTTGCGCATGAACTTGCGAACTATTTCAGTTACAAAAAATCCCGCGTTACAATGACAACTTGATACAGGAACGATGTCGGTAAAACAATACCACACTGCGCGCCTATATGGCTATCTATGATTTTCAACTGGAACTATTACGGTCACCCAAGAGTAAGTAGGTAGGTACTAAATGCAAATTATTTTAACTTAATATTATGCGAAAGTGAGTTTGTTTGTTACACAATCACAAAAAAGCTACTGAACAGAAATAAATGAAATTTGGTACGCATAAAGTTTATGACTTGGATTGTAACATAGGATACTTTTTCTTCCAGAAAATTTTTAGGTTCCTGTGGTACCATACCTCAAAGTACCAAAGTAGAAGCGGACGAAGTCGGGACGGCCGCTAGTATTAATATTGTAAGGCTGAAGAGTTTGTTTGATTGTTTGTTTGTTTTGTTGAACGTACTTATCTCACGAACAACTGTTCCGATGTGATAATTCTTTTTGTGCAAGTAAGTACATCGAGGAGGGCTATAGGCTTTAACTAATAGTAGCGGAGCACCAATGATAAATGTTGAAAAAAACGGGGAAAATATTCCATTTGAGTTTCCGTAGTGTGCGCTGCGTAAATGGTAAAAGTTATACAAAAATAATGTAGGTATGACAAAATGTTCCCAAATTTATCAAAAAGCCTGCGACAGTATAATTATTGTGTCTATCATTTAAGAGTAGCCCTGTTTAGCTTTGTTCCTCAAATTAATGCGGGTGAAACAGCAGAACACATCTAGTAACTAATAGATACTTTAATTTTATAAAGTAAATAAATGCAAAACATAGACACCTACTAATGATGTATCTTAATCGCATTTTGCACTGAATGATAAATACTGCATTATTGACTTATTTATAAACTAATAAAAATAAGATTATCTATTTGACCCGCACGTATTAGGTATGTTTGTTGTCTGCGCTTCTAACCTTCTTTGTAGGTACCAAATTTTACAAAAATTAAAAACGTGTAAATGTTTGTCCTCACATTGCTTGAAAACTAGAAATCGGATTCAATAATTCTTTATCTATTCTGTCTGTTCCTTCTATTGGTTGTATCTCATGAACCGTATCAAAAATACTTAGTTGAAATTTTCACAGAATGTGTACATATTATTGCAATTATCGCTATTACAAATTTTTAACTATATTAAGAAGACACTTCATAAAAACAGAACTACTAAAATATTTTTAAATTCGGCATAAGCTTAAAATACGTGTAACATTAAAAATATTAAAATCCTATTAATACAAAATTGTTTAATTCTGTTGACTTAATTTTTAATTAGGAATAAAGATTTTTTGTAGTGGGTTACATTGTGTGTGGCCGAGTTTTTAACTCCATAAAGAAATGTTTAAAACTGATCGACATTTTCATGGGCGGGTTAAACTAGTAAACCTATCGCAATTAAAGTAGAAATTTTATACAAATGGACTCGTAATGACATTATACTTTAATCAAATTGACTTATTGAAAGTTATTTTGAATAATCCAATATTTTTTCCTAGGTATACCTATAGGATAATTTTTATTTCGGAAAAATGTTTGGTCCCGTTCACGTGGGATTCTCAAAAAAGTAATATAATGTACAAGTTTATTCCGTACCCAAACGTTGACAAGGGTTATAATTAAATATAAATTAAAAACTAGAGAAGGTCTCCAATGCTCCAAATTCTCCTATTTTAGGCGTTATTTTCTCTCCACTGAAATAGTTGGTATATTTTAAATACATATATCTTTAACTAAACTTACATAAAGGTTCGGATCTCTATGTATGCGAGTCCGACTGAAAAATTAGGATTTTATAAAGCATCGAAGGCATAAGGAGTTGAAAAATAAAATAGAAATATTAAATAAAAGTAGAAATTTGCATTAAAATATTTGTTTTACATCCTCTGAACCTAAGTTGTTTAAATGTTTATAAAGCATTTAAAAATAGCTTTCTATATTATTGTTAAAGATTATGGGAATGGGAATTAATTTCAGGGAACGTTGCTAATCAATGACCGACAATCTATCAAAAACGAAGTGGACTAGTTAGCGTACCAAACGATCTACATGCCCTTGGATGTCTATCAATAACAGCGAATATAATCTAAATACAATGCATCTAATATAAAGTAGCTCTCATTGTTTTATAATTGGTTACTCAATTAAGAATGCATTGCTGCGTACTTGCACTATTGGGACGCTATCATAAATTCATGATACCTACATTTATAAGTAACGTAAATAAGTAAACATCAACGAAAAATACCTATTCACCAACCGATATTTATATCTGTTTATACTTACGTTATATAAACTCATGATTTTGATAAAATAATTACGATAAGTATCTCTTATGTTTCATCGGTGTTATGTTTCAGGTCTCCGATAGTGCGCACGAAGAAAAGACAGACTGCTGAGTGAACGATTAATTTTTGATTGTAATTCATAATGGATGACGTGTTGGTGATTGAGATAATACTTGTGAGCGGCAGTAGGGGGCTGTGAGTCGTTTGATGAAAGATAAGTGAGCGTCATGCTGTCGTATATGGTACCAGTTGAGGAAAAGCCACCCCCGGTACCAGGGAAGGGGCGGCTGGCGCTTGAACTGGTCGGCAGCCCTGGGAGCCCGGAGACGGGAGTGCGAAGGGCGCGAACCAACATCTCCAAAGACTCGTCTACTAGTTCTTTCGCGAGTGACCTAACAATCTCATCCTCCACGCCCACCGGAGCTATTGACAAACCCAAACACAAGCTACTCAGCAACGGGACGAAGCATACCACTTTGAAAAGGTAAGAACAGATATAAGTATTGTGTGAACATCGAACATGGTTCCCGGTTAAATTAGTGACGCCACGCTACATAAATCCGCGCAGCTCAGCTATCCTTTTTTTTGCTTCTCATACACTGACAATATTATTCGATGGGAGTATCATGTTTTAAAATGGCTCATGAGCAATAATTAGATACGTTCGCAGTTCCAATCATGTCAGAGAACTATTTCTTTTAATTAATTAATGAAAAAATAAAATGGCCTTCGTCATATACATGTACCTATCGTTTTTTACTGTTTTGATATTTCGTGTTAATAAGTCCCTTTCTTTTGTTTTATCAGTGTGTCACTGTCACCATTGACCTTCGATGATAATGTGTTACATTTGTACTACAAAATTATGGACTATAATATATATAGGTATTGCTAGCTTAGATAACATTGTTGAGATCCCTGTATTCTTTAAGTTTACATCTGGATCCGATGCACAAAAAATAATTGCCTCCCTGGGCCACCATCAAACCAGAGATAGACAAAGGAAACTCAGCACTTATCATTTTAAATGGACAATGGTTCCATTAAGAATATTTGTCATTTATGAAATCTCTATTACGGGCATCTGCTTTAATGTAACAAGTCATGGCAACATTTTGCCAGACTTTTTGTGTAAGGCGTGATAATTTTTATTTAATGTCTAAAATTTGATCTATCGAACTCCAATGTGAGACTTATTTTACAGGCTCCTATGGATATCGGCTCTTTCTGCGATCGCTTTCCTAAAATTTGGGAAAGTAAAATTAGTTATTTTACATTGACACTTTTCTATTTACCTTTATAGAATACCGAAGAAAGAGTTATACAATTTCTGTTTAGTTTTTTCGTAGTTTTTTTCACTTTGTGTATGAGCGCGTTAATGGGAGTAAAGCGTTGATATTGGTTTTAATAAAAAATAAGGACTCAAGGACTTTAATGTTCTTTTCATTTTAACGACCTTTTTATCTATATCATGGTTTTATGTTACTTTATTCAAATATTTTGCAATTGTTAAAGATTGTCAAGAGCACAAAGCAGAGCCGTAATTGACCAGACTAATAGATACTCATTGAACAAATGCGAAAATAAACGAGTGAATTTAAAAATGAAGAAGCTACCAGCATGTCCCTATGTAGCGCAATGATGAAATAAATGGAATTTTACCTTCGGGACAAACAATACAAATTGCATATGGTAATTTGAAGCCAATTAAGTTTACGACAAGCAGGTGTTCGTTACAAATTGCTTACAATTTTTCAATTGAAGTCACGAAACGAAATCTTGCCATGAAATAACAGGAGTTTTCAATTGCATTATTTAATAAAATACTCACCCTTCGCGAAAACAAATGTATTATAAAAACTATTGACATCTTTAAAAATCGTGGTTAAAGTCTGATTTCCTATTCCGATTTTTAGGTATCCAGGTCACATTTTAAACTTTATAGTTGTAGTACACTAAACATTTTTTAATGAAATAAGATTATTATTTTTGTGGTCCTAGATAATCCTTGTGGTCCCACGTATCTGGCAATCGCACTGGCACTTTTGACAGCCATGAGGTGTAAATTTCCAGCTGACAATCTGGCCTGAAAAAAGTAAATAAATATATTTATTTGTTTTTGTTTATCCGATTTATTATTGTTAAGTTTTTAGGTTCAAAGGGCATAAACACTATTTTCTTATTGCTATATCATTTAGGACTTGGTAAGTATATTACAGAGTTCAAAGCATAACAAAACCAATCACTGTTGAGTTAATAGGGGTAATTTAAAATTTTCGTCCTTTTTGGAAAGAAGAATGGTCATTTTACAATGGGAGTTGGGCTAAATTTTTATTTCATTGCGTCTTATTGGAATAAGTGTTAAACAATAGGGAATTAGGTGTATATTGCGTAGGCAAAATATCATTAGAAACTTTAGTGGTGGTTTAAAGAAAATATTAAATTACGTATGCATTTTAAGGTTATGTCATATTTAGATTTGATTAAATTCGATATTTATACCATACTAAATAATTACTAGGTACACTACTTTGAACTGTATTTAATTAGGTTGTGACCTTTTGTCTTCTATTTTGGACTGGAAGTGAAACAAAAATTGAATGCACTTCGTTAAATCCTATCAACGGACAGCGTATATTCGTAACCTGTTACGTTGGTGAGCTGCTACCTATCTCTATTTATTCCAAACATCTCAGATTCAATAAATGTGACGTTGTTGAGGTGCGGTTATATGAGTTATATTTATACTTATTCTCTTTACGCTCAAGCTGCACCTGTGATGCTCTGTCAACCCAACAATGGATATAATATTATTTAAGGTTTAGGAATCAAAAATAAATAAGACAAAATATTTTAATAATGATACTTAATTATTTATTGATAACACATTTATCCAAATCGATATTATACATACACACTGCCATCATTTTTTTGTGTAACACCAGATGCCATTGTAAGCAAAAATAATTGCAATAAACTAAGAGTCCAAATATCTCTGTCACAGAATCACTAAAGGAAAATGTCGAGTCCAATTCTCTCTTTCCCAAAAAACATTTATTAACGGAGGATTACTCAACTCAACATTAGAACTATTCTGCCACAATAGATCACTGAAAACACAAATTCAATTCAAAAGTGAAAACTGTATGTAGTAAGTCACTCGGAACAAACAAACACAACTAATACTGGAAATAGAAGTTGACAGCTACGTTCAGTTGCTTATGGTATATTTCGATTCGATTCTATAGGAATCGATATCCTACACAATCGATTTATAAATGTTTTATTTTTCAATGCAAATGCTTTAAATGTTCAAACCATGAGTTAATTTATATATGATTAAGTAATTATATATAACATAACTAATAACTTGAACAAAAATATATTCCCTTTTTAATCTAAGAGTACTGCATACAAAAGTTTTTGTATGCAATCTATTTTGATGAACAAAATAGTCCGCAGACGAAGTTTCTTTTAGTTTTTTAGAAGCAATGAAAGAGGACAATCCCTAGTACAGTGAGATAGTCACAACACAGGTCTTACAGATAATAACTTTGTGAATATAATGTTATTTATCTTGATATAGTATTATAAATAACGAATGATCATAATTTCGTAGTCATTTACGGCGGTTGGTAAAAATGTTTCAGACTATTTACAATTGTTCTATTCCTCTAATTATAATAAAACATTTTATTTATTCTTTTTGAAGTGAAACTTCTTTACGCACGCTTGCCTTGGGGAGTAAGCTGCTGAACGAAAGCGTTACGAAAAATGTGATCGGGCGAGGCAAACGGGAGTTGAGTGGGAGATATAAGCAAGAGAAAGCAGTGCGCGTGCACATTTTCTTTCTCTCTCCCTCTCATAGCCAAATACATTCCGTATAACTAAGCACAGTGCAGGCCTATTGTCTGTATCACAGTGTAGGAGCAAGAGAGAGCAGTGCGCGCGCACATTTTCTTTCTCTCTTTCTCTTACAGCTAGAATATGAAAGAAGTTTCACTTCAGTCGTGTGGTCATAAGCACACTCGTTATTTTTTGTTTAGAATATTTAAATAAAGAAATATAGTCGCATTTTTTCTCTTACGATAGTATCGACTAGGTGATACAACTTTTGTATATAGTTATATGGTCTATTCTGTGGTTGATTTTTTATTCAGTTTAATAGCCATTTATTTATATTTTAGAAATCCGCTTAATATTTAAATAATAATCACTCATATGAAATGATAATTCAGGAGAAGATTTTTGATACATAAATGCGTCAAGCGCAATCTAGACGGATTTGCCCATTCTCCTTTCATAATTATAAAAATATATGTTCGTACTAATAAAATTGTGTTTGTCGCATTTACAAGAGCAATTTATATAATTACCTCAGATTCAAACAGTTAGTTGCTAAACAAAATCTATGCATTCAATTGTAGGTAAAAAAAAATCACCCCCCCCCCCCCCACTTCACTCGTTTAAATTGGTTTTGTATATGATAAATATTTTGCATTATGTATACTTCAAATTGCGGAAAGAAAAAGGAGAAAGAAAATTGGATTCCAATAAACTCCATTGAAAAAAACAACAAACTCACTATCACTAAGTAAACCAAAGATAAAGAAAGGGACTCCGATAATTTTATTATGCAAGTTTTATCTAAATAAACTGTTAATTTTCTCCTTTCAAACGATTCTCGACATACATATGTAAGTAGAAAATTCTTGTGTCACGTCTGCTGACAGGGTGCTTCCATTTTGCACCGTCTCATCTTGCTAGATAGAAGGGAGAAAATTCAAAATGTCCTTATTCTGGTATGTGGGCCATGTTTTCATGCGACCGTCTATCCCTTCACACGCGTCAAAAACGAGTCCCTCACAAACGGACACCTTACTAGTTCACTGAAACCTGTAAAAAGCTTTTGAGACTGTAGTTACCTTATAAGAATATGAACTTCTGCCGGCTTACGATGAAACATTTATTTTTATTATTCTAAGTACTCATTAACAAGATTGATTATACATTTTTTCCATGTTGTTTGTAGTTGGTAATGCGTGCCTACTGTATATACAAGCAAGTGACAATCACAAACCATTTATTCAATTCTTCAGAGAGGGAGAATATAAATAGCTAACTCTAATATATGTAGAGAATTACAACGTGACGTTATATGATCGGTTTTTGCTTTTGAATTAATATGGAATCAAATTTTGCTGTTTTAACTAAGAGTTTACTGAGATATTTGTTATATTTTTGCGTTTTAATGAAGAAAAAGTATGCTTTCAAAATAAAGTTATAGGATATATTAGCTATAAAATTGACTCGTCATAAGAATTTAATATTAATTCTTCACTTTTTATTATAATATATATATATATATATAGATAGAATCAGGATAGAACACTATAACTTTTTTTAATTACATATTTTAATCAGCTCTGATTTTTGGATTCGTTTCCGCTTGAGTGTGCAAATCCTGCTTATGCTCTACCTGTAATTACGGCTGTTCTATCTTAACTAAAGGTTAAACTTACTCTGGAATAGAGAAATTTTATTAAAATTTCTCTTTAGAGAAGTTCCTATTAAAGATTCCGTTAAAATTCATATACTGAGTTCAATATTAACAGGAGATAAAGCGTAAAAAAATAATTGAGCCTCCTTCAGGTGCATATTTATTCACTAACTGCTCGGGCTCAACGACCCGAAGTGAATCTTATAGGTAGTGGTTTCCCACGGTCTGTGGTAAAGCAGGCAGTGTGGCGCCACCGCTGGCTTGCTTGCAGTGACAAACAAACTGTTTCGAGCCTTGAACAAGAGTCAATGCCCCAGTATTGCGCCAACTCGTAAAGTAAACTCTGCAGCTTTGAAGAATAGTAACGCAGTCGCTTGTTAAAATTAATAATGAAACTAAAACTAACTTTGCTGCTAGCCATCCGATGAAACCCGTAGATGTTGCCGGCACCGGCTTGAGAGATTTCGTGAGGTCTGGTTTGGGAACCTCTCTCAGGAACGCGGCAGTCCGTACTTTTTCTGATTCTGCCAAAGCCAATCTGCAAAAGGTTAATTGTTGAATAACTAATGATATTGTAAGTTAATCCTTACTTTATCATCTGAATGCTGCATGCCTGCCCGGAGAACGTTCCATATCATTCGAAATAAAATCACTGTACATCTCACGGACCTAAATCTATTCAAAATCTGTAACTGTACTGTCAAAGACGCGTCGCCCGTTCGTGAAATGATCGTGGTAACCATTGGCTCCGCATGACAAATTTCATTTGCGTAACGAATGCAAACACTTTGATGCACCTAGGGTTATATTGATATTGTTCCTTTAAGCTGTGAATAAACTGATTATAACTCCCTTTTATAGTTAAAGGTTAACCGTCGCGTCCAAGTGACAAACCATTTGTCAGAAGGTCACTAAGACTGCGATAAATAATATTGGTTAGAACCCTGTTGAAACACATTTTTTTATTTTATTTTAGTCGCCTTCACATTCGTAGTATTAGAGATCGTATATTGTCTGAATGGGAAGGTTAAAATGTGTATGGAGGGTGGTAGTGCGTCTCCGGCAGACTCCAAATTTTTATGACATGTAGTAGGGGAGAAGGAGGCACATTAGCACATTTTTCAATTCGGACTCATAAAAAATTAACTAACTGTAAAGAGAAATTGAAAAAACATAAAATTTCTTAGCATACTTAGTCATTTGTTAATATAAAAATGATGAAATGTTTACATTTTCTGAAATCGTTAAAGAGAAATAATGTGTTTTAAAACACAAATTTGTTCAAATATGCCTCCCCAAGGGGGCACATTTGAATCGACATGGGGCAGTTTTGAACAGTGGGTTAAAAACCAGAAAAAAAGAGAGGACAGATTAACATTTGCTATAGTAATTCAGGTGATTTTGCTGCTGCCACAGACTAAACATACGACGTGACTTATGATTTAATCCAAGCAGAACTAAATAGGTAGCTGTATAAGAAACTGAGCTGCGTTAAGCGGGTCATGCACGAAACGGACGTCCGCTCCGTGTGCAGTTTTAATGACCCGTCTTACGCAGCGCTACTCAATGAAATAACATGAAACAGACACGCGGAGCGGACGCCCACTCTGTGCCCCGCTTAACGTAGCGTAGGCTCCGGTACCGCGAACGCTCGACAACAGGACTGTTGCCGCACCGCGCGTTTTGTGTGAAAAAAAAGGATCGTCCGTACGCCGTACGACAAACGCACCGCTTCGGCACCGCAGCAGGCCGTCAAGAAACGCATAAATCGAAAGCGCCCTAAAAGACAATTTTGCTGAAGTCGATTTTTGATTGCCTTTTTCTCAATTTGTTTGACGCTCAATAGGCTGTGTGGCCATTGACAGCCCTTGTGCAATCCAGCATTTGACGGATAGCGGTATTACCACGGGTTATGTGGTTGTGGTTAGGGTATAAAGGCAGTTATAGACACACTACAATAAATAGTAAAACTTAGTGCCAATAATATTGCGTAACTAACTAGCTATTACATTTAGTAAGGTCAAATAGCCTTTACATCTACATTTCGATAGTGGTTTCGTGTTTGTTGGACAACTTTACAGAAACGAGGATAACACATTGTAAAAGAGAAGTAGCGCCATAGAAAGCAAAATATATTCATCTATAATATAAAAATGAACCGCTGAATACGTTGCTGCGTGCGCAAATCTCGAGAACAGCTGAACCAATTTCTATAATTCTTTTTTTAGAATATTCTTTGAAGTACGAGGATGATTCTTACGCAGAGGAAAATTAAAAAAAAATGTCTGCAAAGTACTAATACAACACTTTTATATACTCCCATACAAACGATGAGTAAATAATACTTAAAAGTCAATTTGAACTGTAATACCATACCATAAATTTCAAATGTTAGTGGAGAGGTTCCGGGAAGGCGGGAGGTTGAGTGACGTGATGTGAATAGAAGTTTGGAAAAGGCAAATATACCATTTTCAGTTTTTTTTATAATTATATGAAGTCTTTTTAGTCTACACTACAGCTCTACATCGAAGCGAAGCGAGGGCGGGCCACTAGTATAATAATAGTTTCTAAATATCCTCCTATTAAAAAGTTACATAGTGCCTTTCCTTTACGAATTAGATGTCACCTAAGCGAAATTCACTCGGCCTGCCATACATTTTTTGTCAAACAAACATGAAATAATACGCCAAGTAGTAAGTAGTAAGCGCCATTGGTTCAAAAAACACAAAAAATTATGTCGCTTCAGCTTCAGCGTTGTGAACAATAAAAATCTTCAAAAAAAATAAGTTGCCTAAGCGCCAAAAATGTACTCAAATCTCCACGAAACATACACAGATCGATGCTGAAAAAAAACTGATTAAATCATATTTATAACTCATTTTCGACCTAAGTGACGTATAAGCGATTTTGCCTTTCTGCTGATGCTTTGATTGTTTTTGTTTTAAAAGTGTTATCAGTCACAAGTTACGTTTTTGTTTACTAATGAACCTTTCTTGAGTCATATAAAAGAAACTGGAGGATAAGGACGGAGCTCGACTATACAAATACAAGACGCCAAAAGCAAAGACTCAATCTAATTCAAGTAAAAGCCAAGATAAGTTTATCGGGCGCTTTATTGGTTTATGGCTACCGTTAATAAAATAATTGTTAAAGCGCAAACTTCTGTTTTAGCGGTCAATACAAACGCAAAAGCAGATCTTACTCGATGAAATACATTATAGTTTCTATTCTGATGAATTATACGAAACTGGGTTAGGCATTAGTAGTAGAAATTTCGTCATCCTAAATATAATTTCTGTGTTTAATGTATTTTATTTACTTTGATCTTAGAATTAGTAGCGCCCGTCTGGCGAAACAACCGCCACCTCACAGAAGACCACAGTAAAATATTAGGACCTTTTTGTTGTGTTTTCGTCGGTGAGTGAGGTTCCTGGGCTCCGTGGGGTAGGGGATTCGGTCAGGTTAGGCAACTAGGTTAGGATATTTCTGGTATCGCGAGCGTCTATAGGTTATGGTGGCCGCTTACCAACAGGAGGGTCATAATATGCTTGTTCGTCGCTCTTTTAATATAAAAAGACTGTGATACTGATATATCTTTGCTAATATAGGGTTTTTCAACAAGAACTTTGTTTTCTAAAACAAAAAAAAAGATGAAGATGATTAAAAATTTTATTGAATTACGAAGAGAAAAGTTCGGCAATTATGAATGAAATACCTGGCAAATGTCCACCACGAGCACGCCGACATTTGTCGATTTTTTCATCAAAGTTTTTAATCACTGTTTGGCAAAATGGCGGGACTATGTCGTTAATCACATCACGGATTTTGAGTTTTAAGGCTGCAATCGATTCGATTGGCCCCGTATAGACTCTGTCCTTAACATAACCCCACAACAAAATAATCTAGTGGTGTTAAATCACACGATCTGGCTGGCCACTAAACAGCTGAGTTTAGTGAAATTATGCGATCGGGAAAGGACAATGGGCAAAATTGCATGGACACTGCACCCAAGTCCGCCACGGCTTAAACTACATTTGTTTGAAAGGTATCATAGTCATGATCATTTGTGCCAAAGCGCATCAAATTCCATCCCGGGAGTCTTTAGTTATTTTAAGTTAAATAGGTACAATGCCATAGGTAAAAGTAACTATAACGAACATAATATTTAAAGATACAAGGACGAGTATATAGAACGGACATATTAATTGACGACCACGGAGGTCGTCAATTAATATATCCGAGTCGAGTGGTTTGTACGCCGGGTTTCATGGTGTCGCTGGCTCGAGAGGTCCCGGGTTTGAATCCTGGTGGGGGCAGATGTTTGTGTGCTGAGTACGAGCATTTAAATTGATCCATAGATTTTTTATTAGCTCGTACGATTATAATGACGTACGCGATGATAATCGTGTTCCTATTTCTAAAGCGTGTTAGTTAAATATCAATGAAATAACAGGGAGCGCACAAAATGTAAGACATAGGACTGCATACGAGTAGACTAGTTGCAACGGCAACTGCAATATCACATCCTTCAACCCCCATACCCTGTTAGACGTTTTGAGGAGTCTCAGTAAGTGCAAGCAGCAAGCAAGCAGGATAGTCGGTAGGCTTTGTTGTTTAGTATTTTGTATCTGGTTGTACAGTAAGATATGATTCACTCACTTATTATTGCTAATATTATAAAACGAAAGTACTATTGATATTTAATGAATTTCTTTAGCTATTTAAATATCATCATCATCAGCCTATTAATGTCCCCACTGCTGGGGCACAGGCCTTCCCTATGGATGAAAGTGCGGATGGGCGGGTGCTAACGACTGCAGATGCAGCCGGGACCAACGGCTTAACGTGCCTTCCGAAGCACGGAGGAACTCGAGATAGATGTTTTTGGTCACCCATCCAATGACCGACCACTGCGGAAGTTGCTTAACTTCAACGATCGCAACCGAACGCGCTAACCACCTGCGCCATCGAGCTTCTCTATAAGGATCTATTTAAATATGCCCGTGTGTAACCGGTCCCCATGACTTCCACACAAAGGTCGTCTATAAGGACTATGTGCGGAAACCTTAACCCCTAATATAGAACATACCCAGGTGTATATCTTTTGACCCCCAGGTTATTTTTTTTTGGTGCCATAATAAAAAAGGCTGGTTTTTCAAACATCTATCGATTCATACTAATTATATTGTTGGCGGAGCTGGGTGCGTTTTGCCCATTGTCCTTTGGTTTGCAATAAATTGATCGTTTCATTGGCTGTGTGACATGTGACGCCGTCCTGTTGAAACCATATATCAGTGATATCCACGTCATTAATAATAGGCCAAAATTCGCCATGTGGTGGTTTTGGATAACCCCAATTGTTGAGAACGTCGCGGAATTGACAAATTTGGATCTGCTTCAACACTGTGGCTCACGGATGCGATGCTTTCAGTTGAACGACCCGGTTGAACACGCGTTCGAGTTGGCACATTTTGTATCGAGCCTGTCGACTCAAATTTAACGACCAAATTCTTAATAGCGGTCACAGAAGGACGATTATGTTGTCCGAAAATATCACGAATTTGACAAAATGTAACTGTAACAGAATCACTATTTTCATAGTAGATTTTAATTATTTTAGTTCGATTTTCAAGCAAGAAGTATACGCAAAGCTTGACATAGATGGTGCTGCAAACGCTTGACCCTAACAACAGCCGAATATTGCAGCTGTCATATTGAACATGGTCTGTAATACAGCTGAAAACAGAGTTGAAAAGGAGAAGCAAGGCAGAAAAGCTAATCTAGTAGAGAGGTAATCTGTCTATTATTATGCTAGAATGCTCATTCTCGGTACATAGATCATTTTCCATGATTATTTTAATAGTTCATGGATCTCAGTAACTTTTAGCAGGCTCATTAGTCAAATCTATCTCATTTTTGCATTAGTCAGACATCTCATAGAGTTAGGTTACCTCTGGTTAAAATGGGAAGTATAATATTGGGGTTTTTTACAGACTTGAGGCATATGACCGCAATTTTAATTTTGGCGCAGTTTTTTCTGATCAAAATGAAGACATCCGGATGCAATTACCAGCCACAGATACATACCATGATTAGGGATGCAAAGTCTTTTGAAATATCGATATTATATCGATGTTTATATCGAAGTCAGGAAAATATCGATATCCGATATATCGACCATTTTAACTCGATATTATCGATATATCGATATTTTTTTCTTTTTTTTTTATAAACATTAGAATATGGGGTGAGTGTGACACATTCATATGTTTGTTGGCGAGTTTCTCGCAAAATGCATTGAGCCAGCTTCTTCTTTAAACACGCTTGATGAAATCGCGCCAAGCAGGATTTTTTTTTTGGCTCGTACGGTTTGTGTTTCAGCCACGACAGGAAACCAAAAAATTAAAATTATTATCCTGATCAGATCACTCACATTTGTTAGCATGAATGCGCCAACCCGCATATGTGGGACGACATTTGCGAATGCCTTCGCTAAGTTTTCACTACATTCGTGCTTTTCCAAGCTATGTCGGTTTTTTAACGCACATCAAATACGCAAATTGCTTAGTCTCCCACACATCAGGGGCGTGCCCATGGCTTCAGAATAGGGTAAGCCTAAAGCTTCAAAAATTACTATACCTATCTTACTTTCTTGACTTAAAAATTTACGATTTGTATAAGAGTCTTAATTTTATTTTGTGTTATATTACAATGATATTTAATTTCAATTAATCAGTAGTTGACAATTATCTAGAAAGAGAGGCAAGGATTTTATTTAAGTGCATGAGTTACCATTAGTTATACGATTATACCTATATACGTTGGTGTCGATTCTTGCATGATTATCTAAACTTAAAACTAAATTTAACATCAGTCTCTCCTTGTCATTCTGTATAGAGAATGACAAGGATACACTGTTGTCAAATTTGATTTTAGGTTGAGAGAATCATGCCGGAATCCACACCAGTTTAGTATATTTCTTGGGGTTCAAGATTTTTTTAATACATCTATAAGCTCTTGCGATTTCAAAGCAATAGTTATTTCGATATTATTCAATTTAGATAGTAATAGCAGGTAAATTAATTGATATTATTGTGTTTAAATTTAGTCTACGAAATATCGATATTTTGGTCTCGATATTATCGATATTCCGATATATCGTTGCAACCCTAACCATGATGTAAACATTACAGTTTTACCCTCCCTTTCAAAGCAACATATAAAATTATATTTTAGTCGGTAAGCTTGCAGTATTCTCACAACAACCAGGAACTGCAACAACGCGGCATTTGTAATTTGTTTAATATAAAGCTTAAAAATGAATATAAGCTAATAGGTATGTATTTGATTGAAGTTTTGGGTCAAGCGATAACAGCGCCCCTAGTGGCCAAATTTTGCAGATTTCTTGTCCATTGCCAATGCATCTACTACGAATACGTCAAATGGGATGAAAAACTAAATGGGATAACTGTCATATTGTTGGTGTAGCCACAATTGAAAAACAAAGTTCTTGTTGAACAACACTTATGCATGCCGAATTTAACAAAAATGTAAACAAGCTACGGGGACAAATTATGGCCACTTACACCACATTTTTGATTTAAATGAGGTCTTAAAGTTCAATCTTTGTCAATTACTTAAAAGTCTAATAGAGATAAATATGATAAGCTATTAAATTTTATTTAAGAACTTTGTTGTGAGTGGATATTAATTTGGAAGATTCGATTGCCGACAAACAGACACAGGGACAAGTGAAACGAAACAAACGCTGTTGATAAAATATTTATGTTACAGCCTATTCATCTACTCTGTGGTATTGAACTAGACATGGGCGTTTTTGGTTTTGAACGCAAACGGATATTTATCGGATTTCAGATTTCAAAATCCGTTTTTATATATCCGATTTCAGATGTGCCTAACTTAGCCAATTCACTAGTTTGTGTTAAGATTTGGTTTTATTAGCTAACGACAATCGCAAACAATTAATTGACGATATTTTGAAAACTAACACAAAACTCGTCAAATCAATTAAAAAGTCAACAGTTAAAAAAAATCCAAATTAAAACTATCAATTTAAATAATGTGTAGGTACACAATTTACTAAGTTGACTTATTATTATTATCTTTATGAACTCTAAACTCCAATCCAGTCTTAACAAACACGTAATTAATAATTATCTAAAACTGGCAAACAAAAATCAGTGACTGACACTCGCGCACTTGCATATTAAGGTTAAATTTGCATCTAAACGAAAGCACCAAGTTTTTATAGTAAACAAACGCACACTAAGCTATAAGCCAAAATACATCACCTCACAGGCTAGTCACGCAAATATACTCTATAAGTACTGTGTCGTAAGACTAAATTGATCGCACATATTCAATGGCAATAGATTTCCGTAAACAACAAACCGAAATCGGACTTCCAAAATTCGCACCATCTTTTTTACTCCGCTTTGTTACGATTGGTAAGAAAGAGACAAAGCGAATTTTACTGACAATTGTAGAGAAATTCGCTTTCTCTCTTTCTAACCAATCGCTACATAGCGGAGTAAAAAAGATAGCACGGTGGTATTAGATCGCTAGCGTTTTAGTTCGGTTAGATTTCTGAAATCGGATTTTCTTGTTGAGAAATCGTTCAGTATCGATTTCTGTTTGAAATCGGATTTTGGATTCGTTTTGATATATCGGACGCATGCCTATATTGAACTTTTTCTAATCAATAAACAATAATGGTGTTCGCTTTATGTCTACGCGTGGGCGTGTTCATCGGATATCCGACAAACCTTAGTACTATTTATAGTTTAATAGACGTATATGCGTGGAAAGACAATGCGTCAAACAGAAAAAATAAAAAAGAGGAGCGCTGCAAAAAAAAGTGGCACCGGTTAAAACTAAGCCATGCCGTGTACGTACACAAATATACGCACACCGGTACAACGAAAATAAGCCCAAATTATGTCAGTCATTGCTCGACTGACAGTCATTGCACAAAGACACAAAGGTCGGTCTCATTTCTCATACCTCCTTTCGTCAAGTAACCAGCTCCAGCGGTCGAACCATTGCTTCCTGCAAATATCAACTTTTTTCCATTGAGCCCGCATCTGAAATGCTTCCGTGTTGGGATCGAATTTCGGATGGAACTCCTTCGCCATGGTTTCTGAATCTGAAAAAAATAATGTGTGAATTGTTGTTCACTTTTAAGAACTAGAGGCATTTTCATCCTCATTGAACGAACATTTAAAGGTTACATAGTTTTATACGTTGTATAGAGGCTTCTGGTACTAATCATACTTTTTATTGAATCTATATAGCTATGTTATATAGAAAATAGGTCGTAACTTCGTCCCACTTAACCTAAGTGAAGGTGCAGTCCAGAAACGATAATAGGTGCATCAGTTTTATGATACAAGATAGCAAGTACCTAGGTAACTTTGAACTCCGCTCATAGAGCTATCCAGATTTATTTTTAAATCCTGTTTCATTTTCATAGGCGTGAAACGTTTTGTTGGGCAAGTAAGTAGGTAATAAAGTATAATAAGGCGTGACCTTTTTCTCGCAGTAATGTTCAACAAAAATACATATATGTCGAAGGGGCACGTGGGCACGTGGGGGTCGTCGTCCATTATAAATCCTCTAAATAATACTAGGTTTGCACTATCTAGGTTCAATAAAGATAGACGCACAAATAATTAGCTCAAAATGAGTTATGATGGCTCAGATGCCAGCGGATTGAAATTGAACGGTGGTGAAATCGTTAGGCATTTGAACACGATCGAATAGCTCGACGTCGAGATCACTAATGGTCTGAAGACTGTTTTTTTTTGTTTCCTCCTAGGCGGGCGAGCGGGTGTGAAATCCTCATGGATACCCTACAGCCGGCTGCAGGATTATCTCAGACTCCTACGGAGTAAAACAAACCCTTAGTGCATACTTATGGCCGGAAGGGCTTTAAAAGCTTCATCTGAGGCGATCATCCCCTGAGGGTGATGATGCGGGATGGAGACCGACGTTTCACTCGTTTTTATACTCTTACAGTGACAGATGTCAAACGTCAGATGACATTGATAAGCAACTAGTGTTGGCAACCCATTTGCCGAATATACCCAAGTCGATTTCGGCTTGAAGTTCTGTTCACCAATCCACGACATATATATCTTCCCTTACAATTCCCCGTATTTTATAGATTTTGAAGCCCTTTCATTATCGTACTTTCAGAAGTACAAAACTTGATTTAGAACTACTTCTTAGACTATTCTTTATCATGATAAAAGAACTTCATAACAATTATTTCTTTAGATTTGGGTTGTTTATAAACCTAAAGTGTTTATGGACCATAATATAGACATTAAAGCTACTTATAATAATTTATTAACTTACTAGCGGCCACCCGCGATTTCGTCCGCGTTTACTCTAGTTTTTTGAAAATCCTCCAGAAATCTTACAATTTGCCGCGATAAAAATCATCTCGCTCTCCTTGATAGCCAAGTAGCCCTCAATGCCATTAATTCGAACACGATGTGCTCAAAATTGGTGAAAGACTGCGTTGATAAACTGAATAACCTGGTTCAAAAGTATAAAGTTATCCTTAAATGGGTACCAATTCAGGGGCAATGAGAGAGCTGATGAACTAGTTAAAGCACAAGAGGGGCAAAAGGGCTACAGATGGGACCAGAACCTTTCTGTGGCATCCCTAGAAACCATGCTTTGCAAATTTTTAAGGACGACCTTCTAGGCGAATCGAAAAAATACTAGTTAAACCAACCAGGATTCGAGCACGCTAAATCACTAATAGAAGGTTACTCGAAAACAAGGACAGCTGAGTTAATAGAAATTAGCATGTCGAACACCCGTGTTATTGTAAGACACTCCCTAACTGGACACTGCAAACTCAGCAGCACCAATTTCATATGAAATGAAGTGACACTGATGTTTGCAGATACTGCAAACAGGACCGTGAAGCACAAAAACACCCTTCTATTTGAATGTGGGCCTCCACTCCACAAACGTTGTATTCATCTGGAACGATATAAAGTACGCCCAGAGGAAATAATTTCTGTAAAAGCTAGAATTGTTTTGAGCTTTTGGAAGCTATCGCACTAAGAGTCATACTTCAACTTGATGGCGAGTCACAATAGATCTTCAAGATCGCAGTGACTACAGTTCCACTAGGACTGTTCCTTTAGCCCTAAAAAAAATAAATAATAATAATCCTATGTCTCAATTCAGGTTATGAACTATATACATACCATATTTCATCTAAATCCATTCAGTAGTTTTTGCGTGAAAGAATAGCAAATATCCATACAAACTTTCGCTTTATAATATTACTAGCGGCCACCCGCGACCTTGTCCGCGTTCACTATAGATATTTGAGAATCCCACAGCTTAAGAATGGCTAGAAGAATTTCGAAGCGGCCGTCAGGGCCGCGGTAGCATAATTGGTCAGTGCATTCACCCGGATTGTGAAGGGTGCGGGATTGTTTAAATCAAGCCGTTACATGCTTAAAAAATAAAAATTATAATCCCACAGGAACCTAACAATTCCCAGGTAAAGGCGGGCAATGTTTCTTCCATACAAGCGTTCTCGACTGATTCCTCATTGATTTTTATCACTAAAGAAATGATTTTAATACTTACATAAAATATAATTTTACTCATTCTATGCTCTCATGTTTCCCTTTTTTCGATAACTTGTGCTTTATAGAAACTAGATTCCCTCGAAATGGCTAAAAAAAAACTTGCTTAAAACGTCTAGTATGGAGATTCAATAATCATTTACAGAAAAAGCAAAACATACAGGCGTACGATAACTACTTATTATTCTATGAGTAATATTTATTTTACATAATTATATCCTGTTTCAAAGAGCCATTTTTTTAGCCAAGCAATTTTTTTTTGCTTTAATGCTTAAATTAAAGCAAAAAAAAAATTTCCTGAAGTATTTTTTATAAACAATTGCTAAAAACTGAAAAATATATTTTTTTTAATTTTTCCAACGGGGATCTATTCTAAAGCCTTTCAAGAATTGCTCCAAGAGAGGAAAAAAATCTCAAATTTATAGTTTAACAATAATAACACTTGCAATGTTCATAAGTAGGCGTGGCTTACGCAAGCCAGAGGTTTTCGGCCGTATTTTCATCCCTCTGGGAAAATTATAAATTTAGGTCCTACAGTTCCGGGAGTCGGGGCTTTTTTAGGAATTTCCTCCTCTTTTTGAATCTTTTTTTTAATTTTAAATATCTTTATTAGTTTTCGAGATATTTGCAAAAAACGAAACCCCCCCTTTTTTTAGTTAATTGTTAATAACTTTTGCAATTTTTGTTTGCGGAACTTCATTTTTTTTCAAAAATCATCTAGATGCCATTCCGAATCGAATGACACCTCGATCATAATTTTCGGAGACTGCTGAAAAAAGTTGACCAAAAAGGCACTTGTTGACTAGACTACAAGTTGTTGGGAAGCCTTTGGTCTGCTTTGGTCAGTCAACTTACGTTTGGCGCAACTGAAGTTTTTAGGAGTAATAAATTGATTGCAGGAATATAAATTAATTTAAAGCATGAAGAAGCTTTCCTGGTGGGTGATTATAATTATTTTTAAGCATGTAACTGCTACAGTTATAATGATTTTTTTTTTACTAGTAGTTAAAAAAATCATCAAAATGGGTGAAGCCTGAAGAGCTTTTTTTTCCAGAAAACTCTTTTTTAGCTTTTCTTTTGTCTGCCAGCGTAAGTCGAAAACAGTAATAACACTCCATGTCTGGCGAGGTAGTAGGTTTAGATACTACACAGCCAAAATTTTATTTATTTATCATTATTAACTGATTAAGGTCTCACATCACGTATATTATTATACAGAAACTACAGAACCGTCTACGCTCAGCTCTCATATCGCTTTTTGAGTAGTCATATTTATAATAAGATCAGTAAATGTATTACAATCGTACACCTCAACAAACATGAAGTTAAAAAGAAGATCACAAAGTTTTTACTTTCACTAGATTACGAAAAAACTGAGGAATCGGTTGCCACGGCCCTATAAATATAGATGCTTATGATTATATATACACATACGCACTACACACATATACGCACACACACATACACACACACACACATACGCACACGCACACACACACGCATACACACACATTTATTATATTAATGTACTGTAATATTGATTAATGTAGGAAATTATGGTACTCATGTTATTTGTATGGCTACATTGCAAATAAAATTCGGGAAGAGCGCTGAAGCCAAAATACAGGATGAACTTCCTAGTTTGGCTGAGGATGTCTATATGTAGGTACTTTGTGTGAAATAATGGCCTTAGTATTAACATATTTATAAGATTATTACCATGTACAATTTTTTACAAATAAATATTATTATTATTATTGACAGGCTATAGAACGTACGCGCAGGCCGGGCTTGCGCAGGCAAAATTTCAAGCAAGTCGAAAAGTGCGCAGGCCGCGCTGTGGGGTTGGCGCGTGATACAGTTTTACCAACTACACGCACCGTGTTCCGTGTACAAATCGGCCTGCGCAGGCAAAACTGTGGTGAACCTCGTGCGTGTGGTAGGCCCATTACATTCGCACTGGTTTTTACCTGTTTTACATTAGGTAATACAAATATCATACATTTTGTTTTCCCTTAATCAAGTAATAAATTATTAACATTGAACCAGTAGTCCACTGGTTACACCACCTTCGATATACAACTGTTCTGTTCTGTGTTATGGTAGGTATTACTGTCTGTTTCATGGAACAAGTCCAATCGATTTCAAAGTCCATATTGTAATTTCCAAGGGCGTTACGTCCCCAGCTTTCATTGAGCCACCCTGTCTTCTGCTCGAGTGACGGACGGTATTGTTCACTCAGACGATCGTTTCCAGCATATTGGTAAGTACTATTTATTACCTATATACATTAGAGTTACATTAGTATTGTTTCTAATAAAGAACAACACTGATTGGGTCTAACTATTGCCAAGTTCTTAGTTATAATAACGTTAAAGGGACAACAAACAAATTTTATTTGAATCTGGAACTGTAAGTAGCAGGTTGTGAATTTAAGTAAACATAAGTGATTTTCCAAGTGGGTACACCTACAAATATATAAAAAAAAATTGGTGCGTGTACTTATGTAGGCGCGTGAGAAGTTATCCTTCTTTGGCATCGTTTAAAATTAGTTTTTAATTGCATGCAAATAATTAATTACAATAAATTAATAAAAAGTCTGGAAAAGGACACAGTCAATAAAGTTCAGTTTAAATTTGAAAAAATAAATAAATAATAAAAAATCAAAATATTCAACTAAAATCGCTACTGAATATAATTTATTAGAACATATGTGACACTGATCGCCAAAGCGACCAACTTCATGCTGTTAAAATTTTGTGTTACAGTGATGCGCGCGCATCTTAAAATTTCACTCTCATCATTTTTTCATAACGTGCCTAAAGAAGTATAACTTCAAAAATGTGACGGGCGTGGAACACTCGGTTGTAACGAAGTAAAAAATATTTATATACCACCTACCATTCGGCACTGGGCCCGGATGACGCTGATAAGTCATGGCCCAATCTTCCTATTCTATCAAAAAAAAATACAATATGTACCACCCACCAAACGCACTTGGCCCACATGGTGAGCCACGCCCCTAACTCCCTTTTACATAAAAAGAAATCCTTTCTACAAATGCGCTCTGGGGCCGCGTTGACCCACCAATTCGCACTGTGCCCACGTGATGAGTAATGGCCCAACCTCCCTATTCCATAAAAAATATATATATTTCCCGCCGACCAATCCGCACTGGAGCTGCTTGACTAGGGCTGCCATCCGTCCGGGTTTCCCCGGATTTGTCCTAGTTTACGGGGCGTCCGGGGAGCGTCCGGGCGGGGTTTTATTTGTAGTCCGGGTTAAAAAATTACGGCAACGCATGAGTGGCCCTTGGTGCTGCAAGTGTCCATGGGCAGCAGTGACCACTTATTATGAGGTAGACTGCTAGCTCTTTTGCCTAGATCAACATAAAAAAGTTGATTTGTGACATTTTTAACTGTTTTTTTTTTGGTCTGTCCGGGTTCTGGGCTCCAAATCCGGGGTTATCACGTGTCTTATCCTGGTTGCCATATTTTAGAGATGGCAGCCCTATGCGTGACGGATCACAGATCATGGGTAATCTCTCTATACCATGAAAAACTCCTACTCCTCAATCCGTACTGGGCCTGGGTGGTGGGTCATGACCCAATCCCCTTATTCCGACAAACTATCTCGTTAGGCTGTCACGGAAAATCATATATATTATCGCCTAACTCCAATCCGCCATATTGTCGCTCGAAAAAGAACTAACTTCGTTACAATACAGTACCTATTAAAGTAAAGAAGCTGTAAATTAATAGAAATAATAGATATTTCAAATGTGTGCGAGTCAGACTCTCATTTGACTGGCTTTTCGGTGTCACGCTCGCGGTGGATAGAAAGATTACCACGTTCAGCATGGATAAGATCGGAGATCTAAAAGCAACTCGGTGAGATTAGATATTACCGATATAGTACATTTCA